GTCAGAGACTGAAGCAGCAAACCAGGCTTCCTGATATAACACAACAACGCTAGCTGATTATGGGTGACAAACTCTGAACAGCAGAAGCTGAAACCCCTGGGCTAATGCTCACGAGTTTGAGCATCTGCTCCAGGGAATAAAAAAAAAAAAAGGAAAAGCTTATCCTTGTAGTTTATTTTATATGATTTGAAGAAAAAATATATAGTTTAGACAAATGGAGGTAGGCCCAACAAACAGATTGATTCTCCATAGATCATTGGGAATCAAATTTGGAACCAAACAAATTAAAGGGGTTAGTGCCAGCCTCAAGGTTCTATATTACCTTGACTATTCATGTCACCATTATTCCCAATAGAGCATTCAGCAGTTGGGCCATCTGATTGCATGATCCTTCTAGTGCCGTCACTCTCAGGGTCTCAGGCTGCCACACTGCTGATAGATTGCTCCCCTGCAAGGTTTGGTATCTGACCAGCACCAACTACTAGCTAGGAAATCAGGCTTTTGGCCTGGCACTTTCGCGTGAGGAGCAAGGGTGTGGTTACTTATGTGGAAAGACGGCAATCTGCCCACTAATATTCCCTTTGACAAGACGCTCCCACCCATTGCTAGTTTCAGTATTTATATATATAATATAAATAATGTTTTGGCCGGTTTCATTCGTATTTTCGGGGTTGGTGGAGGGAAGCAAGTAGATGTCGGATGGAGGAGCGGCTGCTGCATGGCCTGCCCAACTTTATTGTTTTTTTTCTTCTTTCCAGCATGCAATCGAGCACCGACCACTACTCGTTGTTCTTCACAACAGGATTTCATTCTGCTTGATCGAAGTTTCTTTGGACGCCTAAAAGATGAGTGCTTTGGCTGTTGTTGCCCCCACTGCACACTGCATATATAGTTGACTTATCCCTTACAGCACTAGCTAACATGAGAGCAAACGGCATGACGGATTTTTGCTTTAAGCTCTCGCATTCACCAATGAAATGAAAGCGTTTATATATACGAAGTGCTTTCAGTTCAGATGCTAAAATTCTGGAGAAGAATACGATGAGGAGGGAGGTGCTGACGCAGTGGGTACCAGATTTTCTGTTCAACAAAGCACAATCTCAACTCGGATCATGTACGGGACACAAAAATTTGAACAGTTTTTTGAGGAAACAAAAAATTGAACAGTTTAGCCAGCGCTACTAGCTCGTCCGTCGGATAAAATACACGGGAGGCAGGCTGACGAGGCAAAGTGCATGCAGTGCAGTCCCAGGACTACAACTTCCATGCATGTAGACGCCTTTTGTTGCCGGACCTCATGCGGCTACAATCGCCATCAACCACCGCGTGCTCGACGGGCTGCAGCATGCTGTGTAGTCTCCGTCGTCGTCCGAGGTCCGTCCGTCCCCATAAACTTTCCAGAAAGTCCAGTGCCGCTGCAAGTTTGTTTACACTGGCTGTGTGTGCCTGTGTCTTGTCCGCAACGAGCGGTTGCTTTCGCCGACGTCGAAGAAGAGCTAGCTTTTGGCATGTTTGATCCGGCAAACCGGAGAAAGACGGAGAAAAGCGATGGGAACGCCGAGGTGTGCGCCTGCCGCCTGCCGGAGCGGGCAATTTGAATTGACCGGGTGTTGGTTGGTATTGCTACCATGCCATTTTACCATGCCGTGCATGCAACAAGCTCGACTCGAGTCGTCTCACTCCCAGCTAGCGTGAGGTTCTTGTGATGTGGGGTCTCCTCGTGTCTCTGCAGTGCGATCCATATTCGGACAGGTGATGTAGGCATCGTTGAGAGGATGGAAGAATCTATACTCCTAATCGACAGGCAGTGAACTGAACGACGTGCAGCGCCGCCTGCCTCCTGCCAAGGAACGTACAGCACGGTCCAGGAACCTGATGCTGTGCGCTGAACCATGACCGGGTGATCCTGACGGCCCTGCTGCCCAGCGGGTCCGATCCGACGCAGACGCCGGTGCCGACGAGCGAGCGAGGTGTCGTCCGGCCAGACGCACGCGAGCACCCTGCTGCTAGCTCCTTTTTCCCCTTGAGCTAATGCGCGCAGCAGTGTATGTAGCGGATCATCATGCAGTGCCGTCGCCCGCGCCATGTCATGATACGCGCGCCAGGCGTGCGGCCCTTTCCATCATCCCGTCTCGCATTCCCATGGCGCTGCTAAAATGCTTCCTACTGCTCCTATCCTACTATGAGGCATCGAGCGCTCGGCCACTCGCTCCCTTCGATGCATGCATGCTTGCCTGCCTGCCTCCACCTTCTGCAGGCGTGCATCACTCTCACTAGATTCGCCGTGGCTGCGAGCCATCATCAATCCCGATCTTTCTCTCTGCGTGAGCGTGGCGAAGCGTACGTACTTGCTTGCCCAGTTGCCCTTGAGTGCGTGAGACTGGGATGTGACGCTTGATGAGCCATGCATGGCGATTCCGCAAATCTCTTGTGTCATGGACGATCTCTGCTCGTCGGATCAGCAGGCCAACGGGTATCGCCCGTCCAGAGCCGCCATGCCAACCGTTGGTGCCGTAGCACCTGCGGCTCACGCTTGGGCGTACGGTGTCCGAGTGCCAACCATCATTTAAGTACGTCGTGACGTGTGATTGCGGCTGCCTGAAACCGATCGTCTGCATTGCCAGCGGGCAACAGGCGACGAACGGGCAGACGCGGCTCACGACGTGTCCGTGTTGTCGCGCATGGAGCGAGGCGACCGTAGTCCGTCGCGTCTGCCCCGCCGTATAGTATACTGTATACTACGTGCTCCTATCCTACACGCATACTGTAGGAGTATGTAACATCCGACAGGGATTATACATTTGCGGCCTCTCAGAGTCAGAAGAAACCCTGTGCACAGTACTCCGGCCAGACCAGTTCTCGGCTTCTCGCCTTTAGACCCCGTTTAGTTCCACTTTATTTTGCAAAATTTTTTAAGATTCTCTGTCACATCGAATCTTTGGACGCATGTATGAAGCATTAAATATAAATAAAAATTAAAACTAATTACACAGTTTAGACGAAATTCACGAGACGAATCTTTTAAACCTAATTAGACTATGATTGGACACTAATTATCAAATAACAACGAAAATACTACAGTACTATTTTCTTAAAAATTTTGCAAACTAAACAAGGCCTACATCACATGCTGCCATAGGCTACAGCTACGGTCATTACAGTACTCCAAATCCAGGCCTGATTCAACTGTCTGACACTGCTGCTACCATTGAAGGCAGAGCAGAAGTACAGTGCTGACGGAAGAGGAAGGATCCAAGTCCAACAGAGGGAGGCCAGCGACGCAACTGACAACTACCTCCAGCCTCCGGGAGAGCAAACACCGCGCCGCGCACAAACAAAACGAACCAATCGCCCCATAAACAGCTCGGCACTCGGCAGCGGACAAAATTGAAGTCGCGGTTTAGAGGTCAGCAGAGCTGATATTTAGCCTGCTTATAAACTACGGTACAATATTTTTTTTCTTTCAAAAAATCAATCATATAAATCAGGACAAACGGCTTAACAGGAGCCCAAAGCAGACCCCTAGAATCACCATTGAATTTCTTCCCAAGGTCTTATTTAGATTGAGGTTAAGAATCAGTATTCGGCACTGTAGCACTTTCGTTTGTATTTGATAATTATTGTCCAATCATGGCCTAACTAGGCTCAAAAGATTCGTCTCGTAATTTACAATCAAACTATGTAATTAGTTATTTTTTTATCTACATTTAATACTCCATGCATGTGTCCAAAGATTTGATGTGACGGAGAGAGAGTAAAAAAACTTGCAATCTAGACAAGGCCTAAGTTTGTTTTCACTCGTGGCGGCTAGCTAGGCGCTAAGTGCTACTAGTGTATTAACAAACATCATCAATCATCTTCGAGATTAACAAAAAAGAAAAGAAAAAAAGAGTTAAATACATCGTAGGTCCATTAACTTTTGGTGATGTGTCATCTAGATCTATCAACTTTCAAACTTTATTTTGGATCCATTAACTTTTAATAGTGTATTATCCAGCCCCATCAACTTTCAAACTGTATTTTTTGGTCTATTAATTTTTAATGGTGTGTCGTCCAGGTCCATCAACTTCTAAATTGTATTTTTGGGTCGCTAAACTTTTTAACTGGTTCACTGTAAATCCATACCCCTTCGTTTAGCGAAAAGATCTGACATGGCACGCCAAAAAAAGCAGCCACCGTGGCCGGTCAACCAAACATAAAATTTAGTCTAATCTACCCGGCACAAGGCTGAAGGCCACAGGTATAGACACGCAGGTCACTTGACCCAAACAAAACTCGGACTCCACCAGCCCAACTAGGACCAATTAATCCTGAGTCCCTGGTTCGGCTAACATGCATGGCACGTCCAAACGCAGCCACCAATTTGATTCACGTACGTAGGTGCACGCAGGCACTAAAAGCTAGATAAAAGATCGTGTATCACAACTAGATAGGAAACTAATACATGAAAATAATAAAATACTATGGTAAGGATACTAATCACGCCGAGAAAATTCCATTGATGTATCTTGTTGACTTCATTTTCTCCTCCTTTCCACACAATAATAAGGCACTTCTATAAAATATCTTTAATGACAGTTCAGCAGTTGTCAATTTTTCCATGTCCACAGTATATTTATCATTAAAAATAATAGTCCCAAATTTAAGACAAGGGGATATTAACGAATTACCTGTTGCTACATTTGAATTATTACTAGACAAGTCTCCATGAACATCTTGAGGAGCTATGAACTCATCACCTACTCAACGGTGGCTGTTTATTTGACGTGTCATATCAGATTTATTCGCTAAACGAATGAGTATGGAGCTACGATGAACCAGTTAAAAAGTTTAGGTACCTAAAATTACAATTTAAAAGTTAATGAAATTAGATAACACAAATATAGTTTGAAAGTTGGACGGAAGGACGCACACATGGCCGAAAGTTAATGGTGGTATTTAACTTAAAAAAAAGGAACTTTGGTCGGCGCCGACCACGAGGACCGGCCGCCGAGGCCGCGTCATCGGAACCTACCCATATCAGCGAGCTTCCGGGAGGCGTTGCGCCCGAACGACGCGGCGCCTCCGGCCGACGCGTGTCGCCGGTGGCTGTCTCCCATCGTGGAGGGGTCCGGCGGCTGGCACCGGCGCCGGCCGCCGGCGGAGCTGGGCCGGACGAGCGGGCTCAGGCACACGGCGAACCCCGAGATCCCGTCCCCGCTGGCGCCCGCGCCAGCGCCGCCGCCGCCGTGCCGGCGCCGGTGCTGCTGCTGTCTGGCCAGCGACGGCGAGGGGAACCACCAGCTGCTGCTGCTGCCTCCGGGGGACTCAGGCTCCTCGTCCTGCTGCGCCCGTGGCGGCGCCGGGAAGGACGCGGCCGCGGGCAAGTCGGTCGGCCTCCGCTTGCGGCGGATGATCGCCGAGAGCCACGAGGTGGACCGCCGGGGAGGCTCCTTCCTGCCTGCCTCTGCTTCCCGTCCGTGCCGCCTGCCGCCGCCGAAGATCGCTGACAGGAAGGACCGCCTCGGCGCGGCCTGCTTCCTCTTGCCGCCGGTCTCCTCCCCGGGCTCGTCGGCGGCGCGAAAGGCGGCCGCGGCGGCGGCGGCCGGTCCGACCTGCGGCGTGCGGAAGAAGAGGAGGTTCGGCTGGTGCTGGTGGTACCCGGACGAGGAGGAGGAGGTCGCGTAAGCGCAGGCATCGGAGCGTCGGTGCTGCACGTACGGCGAGACGGAGCGCGGGAACGCCGCCCCGGCCCTTTCCTCGGCGTGGCCGTGCTGGTGCTGGTGCCGCCGCGTGGGCAGGTGTAGTAGGGGCGCCGGGGGCGAGCCGCCACAGCTGCTGCTCCCGCAGCCCCCGTCGCTGCTGGCGTCGGCGGCCTGGGCGCGCTCGGCGGCGAGCGCGAGGAGGCGGTCGCGGAGGCAGGGCGCGCACACGCCCACGGGGTTGGCGTAAGGGTGGAGCTTGCACCTCATCTCCCAGCGCTCATCACGCCGGCCAGCCGCCGCCGCCCTCCGCAGCCACAGCGCCGAGAGGAAGGAGCAGCGGCAGATCGCGAGGCGCAAGAGACTGGAGCGGCGCGGTTGGTTGGTTGGGTTTGGATTTTGGCGTGGCCTTTGTAGCAGCGGCGTTGCAGTTGTACCGCGCTGTGCAGCAGCAGGGCAGCTCGGATTTTCCTCGGCGCTGCGCTTGCGCCTGTCGGCCTGTGCTGTGCCTCTGCGCTGTGGCCTGTGGGAAGACCGGAAGAGTGGTTGGGCTGGGCGATGGCGCCGTAATGGCTGGGATTTATTTTGGGGGAGGGAAGGACGGGGGGGTGGGGACTCGGAACGAAACGGTGTGGAGGGGGTGGGGCCCTGGCGCAGGCTACTCCGCTAGTCTAGTTCAACTCACCGAACCGCCTCGTCTGGCGATCGTCTGGCGATGGGAGTCCGACGGAAGCTTCTCGGTCCGATCGGCTTATCAGGCATTATATCTCGGTTCTCACCCTATTCTGGGCTGCGTCAGGATTTGGGAGGTGTGGGCGCCGCTCAAGGTCAAGCTGTTTCTCTGGCTGGTGGTTCGCCGCCGACAATGGACAGCGGACAGACGACGAAAGCATGGGCTCAATGCACGCGACACCTGCTTCCTGTGCGATCAGGAACCGGAAACCATTGATCACATCATCGTCGAATGTTCCTTCGCCAGGCAGTTGTGGTTCGAGGCAGCCACGGCGCTTGGGGCAACTCTGACCGAGCAACCAGCCGGCGCCATTGTCAACTGGTGGCAGACCTGGAGAGCTCTTTGGCCAGCGTCATTTGTAAGAGGCGTAGACTCCATGTTCGCGCTAATCGCTTGGGAAATCTGGAAAGAACGTAATGCGCGTTGTTTCCGCGGAGCAGCCACATAGATTCCGACGATCAAGGCAACCATCAAACTTCAGGCAGAGCTATGGGTCCAGGCCGGTGCGAAGCACCTATGTTGTTTAATTCAGCGAGTAATAGGTTAGAGAAGAAGCTGAGCAGGGTGGGTGCGCTCAGTGTTAACCTTGTAAACCACCCGAGATGTAACAAACTATTCTTCTACTTAATACAAAAACGCGCAAATCTTTTGCGTGATTGAGAAAAAACTCCCGGGTTTATTTTTTTATTAAAAAAGATAAAACAAAATAAAACTCGAGTCTTCCTCTCAGAAAAAAGTCTCTGCTCAACAATGCTTACCTGATCTTGTCTAAGCACATCTGTTGCGATTTATATAGAGACCATACATTGAGAATGAACTCACCAAAGGAGTTAGATATAATATAATATAAAAATATATAACCACAGATTTGCAAATGAGAAATTTCCACACTGACAAGAAAAGAATTGGCAATCACTTGACAGATTCCACCTCAAAGTTTAAACAATTATAGTCCATCGAGCGTAATTCACTAATCCAAAACAAGCTAGCGTACTCTAGGGGAAATTACACTGTTTTACATTAATTTACTACGTCTAACAACAAAAGCAACCAACGCTAAATATGTGAATGAATGGCATGCTGATTCTAACATTGCTAAACGGGAAACCGTTTAAACGGAGTTATTGCCGGTAGGAGTAGGACGTCCATATGCACGGGATTTATTGCCCCCGTTGTCGCTGACGGACAAATTGAATACGTCGGGGACAGGACCCATATATATGCTTGGTGAGGGAAGGAATCAAGGGCGCCGGTTCTTTATCATCTCCACCCGCTCCCCCCTTGCGAGGACGTCCTCTTCCTCTCGCGTGTTTGTTTGGGATCGGACTCATGCCCCTTCAGGCTCAACCGGCAGTAGGGTGTAGAGTGGTGCGTGTACAGTCCTAGCCTCCTAGGTCGATTGGGCTCAAGTCAAACGTCAAAAACGCCGGCACACGCCATGAAACAGTGCCGGTACAGTCGTACAGATTTGTTTGCTGGAGAGCGTATACCCGTCTCTGTTTGATTATTGCTCTGCATTTTCGAATTCTTCCTATGGTATATTCGTCGGAGTATGCATACCACTCCGTGGATGAATAGTAGTATAATAACAGTGCCAAGTGCTCGAGAGAGATAGACCGACAGGCGTGACGGGAGAAGCTTCCATCCATTTGGGTCCGTGTTCTGGCCCGGCCATGCGTACAGGAACAAGGCTTGTCCAGGTTTGGCGGCAGACAACAACAGCAGCTGACGGGGAGGGAGGAGCAGTTGAATAGTGTTTTCCGAGGAGGATCGGCAGGTGAGGTGACCGGGGAGACGCCGACAGAGCGCCGGCCCCTCCCTCCCCCCGCGCACACGACATGCGAGCAACGACGCCCTCACGCCCGTCTGTCCGTCCGCCGAGGAGGGATGGATCATTGGGGGTGGAGACCGGAGAGGAGCGCGTGGGCGCTGCCCGTGCCTGGTATGCGGCGAGCAGCAGCGCCACGGGATTACATGTGCAACCAACTCTACTTTAAAAGCTTTTTTTTTATTTCCTCGACCTTCGAATATAAGCTGTAAACTAAACGTACTAACAGTTGTGACACGACCATGCGAGGCAACTGGAATTATTTTGGGACCTGCCCCGGCCCCGGTGAGAAACGGAGTCGATCCAGGATCGAACTCGCATCCGATGGTTCGCACACCAGCGAACAAACCGTCGAGCTAGCGCTCGGTCAGGGGTGGTCAGCGGCAGAGAAATTATAAGCTCGACGAGGAAGGCCTGCACGAGGAGATTACTCATTACTCGTTCGGTGATCCGGTCCGACCGACCACTCACTAGATGCCTAGACGTGCCTTAATCGACCAACCGCCACATGAGACAGGAGTATATGTGTGCTACTGCTAAGTACGTAATGGCCAACAACTACCGGCCGGCCTATTCTTCACCTTAAAAGAATACTGCCCCCAGAGATAAACTACTGGCATGTTCTTTAGTATTTATACGCTAGTAAAGTCCAAAGTGCGGCCCTGGATTTTGTTCAGGCATTAGCGTCACGACCGTGACAGATAACATATAAGCAATTAGTAGCACTTGTTACCACCATCAATCAATATTGGTCGGAAATTTTTGAGCGGCTATTACGCACTGGTACTGTGGATTGGCAGCGATGCCAGTTTGGAACTGTACAAAATGTGGACAGCCGGAACAGCTAATGATCATATCCATGGTGATGGACGTGCTCTAAAAGCCTACAATCCAATTTGGGTGAGGTTTTCAGCAATGAGGAAGACGGATCAAGGCCTGATTAATACTAGGAGCACATTTATTCTGACTGGCAGGTCATGGTGACAGCAACTTCACCGGAAACACTAGTAGATGACGTGTATGGCTCCTAATTACAATTTCGTGTTCTTAGGACGACCAATCCAGTCTGCTGAAGATGCATGAACTCGTCAAAATCAGGACAGCACGTCATGCGTTTAGCGTTTCTATTCCAGAAGACCTGTTCTACGCGGGGAACTCATGGAAGGGCGCACGGCGGGCAAAACCTCCTCTAGAAAGCGTGAATCCATGGCCAGCACGCGAGGATTTCCCGGACGAACCAAAAGGGTCAGATCAACGGAATGCGAGTGGGACAAATAAGCATCGCGAAATTGACCAAGGCTTATGCGGGGCTTGACTGACCTGATCCCTGTTTCGGATGGTTCTGCACTGCACGCGTCATCCATCCCGGATGTGGAAAATGTCAGCAATAACGCTAACAAAAGATACTCGTAGATGGCAGACGGGTCTTGCTGGTCCAGCAGGCCGAGAATGTTCAGACGCAATACCAGTATTGTTTATCGAACGGCTCCCAAATAACTTCCTGATTCAATTGCATGGTAATGCTCGCAGCCAACAATGTGGATTTATTCTACAGTGTGATTGACTAGTGGCAAGTTGCATAAAATATATTTGTCATTAAAAGTCCGAATTCTGCAGTCTACACGACTACACTTAGGCCTTGTTTAGTTGCCAAAAACTTTTTCCAAAAAGTGCTACAGTAGCCATCACATCGAATTTTGCGATACGTGCATGTAGCATTAAATGTAGACGAAAAAAAAAATTAATTGCACAGTTTGGTTAGAAATCGCGAGACGAACGTTTTGAGCCTAATTAGTCCACGATTGAACACTAATTGCCAAATAAAAACGAAAGTGCTACAGTAGCCCAAATTCCCAAAATTCACGAACTAAACAAGGCCTTAGTAAAAGACAGAAGAAGAATCTGCATGTGCATCCTACTACTACAGAATCTACGTATCATGAACAAAATTCATTCTCATTCGTGCATACAAGTTTGCACATGGGTTACGAAGGACTGAGAGATTTGCACGTAATAAGAGTTGGGAGTTGAGACATAGATACAACACAAGCAGTCAAGCACACAACTGATATTAACAGGCTAAGATACGAGACAGGTGATCGGTCTAGTAATACTTGACAACCAATGTGCATAATAGCTAGCTGCTAATTCTGCATTAGTCGAATTACAATGTGTCTAATGGAAGACAAGTGTTACCTTCCTCGTGTCCATGACATGGAATCAATCTCGTCCCGAGCAGACTTGTACAGCTCAAGCCTCTTAAAGCATTGCAACCTGCGTTCCATGAGGGCAGGATCCTCGTCAAGGAGTACTGCAAGTAGCTTAGTCTGCAAAAACAAAATTTATTTACTGGAAAAAAATGCTAGGAGGAGGAATGAACAAGCTAGAACACAAAGAAAGGTTACTCACATCTTTCCCACCCACTTGAGTATAGAAATCATTAAGCAGGGACCGCTTAGCTTCGCGGACCTGACAGTGGACAACAGACTTGGGGATAGTATTCTTCAGCGTTTCAGATACCATGCCAATGTATGAGGACACATTAGAAGCAATCCTCCTGAAATGTGCATCAGTGTAACGATCATCCGAAGGAGCAGGAGGGTTTGCAGTCCTGGGATTTCCAGTTCCAGTCTTATCAACTTCCTGTGGGAGCTTGCGGAAGAACTCCACAGTCAAATATGCTGACTCCATATCAACCAGCCGTAGAGTAGTTTTCCTGCCATCTTCACGGAATCTCTCAAGGGCCTTATAGCATGCAGCAGCAAGCTCCGTTTGTAGAGTTGGAAATCGTTTCAACTCCTAAAGATGCAGTAACTTTTGTAACTAATGTACAAGGGAAAAGGGTGTAACTGATACTTTTAACTAAGAAACCAAGGGCCAACCTGAGTCTCCCCAATGGATATCCTCACCAGCTCTTTCAAAACAGAATGCACCTGCAGTGATGTATAAAAGACTCTTCAGTTGATGAAAGAAAGTACTAATACAATCAGCACAGGAAGAAGATTTCTTACAGCATCTACAGAAGCTTCAGCTGGACCTCTAAAATAATTGAGAGCAGATTCAATCAGCCGACGGTACCCTTGCTCAGGAGCAATTAAATGAGGCTGATAACCATCTGCCTGTGATACAACCCGCTTCACATTTTGCACGGAGAGGTGACGATCAAATGGAAGCTTCCGCAGAGCAGAAGGGAGTTGGTTATCAAAGACCCCATAAATTCTATCACCACCAGGTCGTCTACAAATTTTAAATTGCATTTAATATTAAGGACAGCCCAGAACAATAATCAGATTGACAGTAAATCAATTAAGAAAAAACATTGATATGAGGTTTACCCTCCATCAAGATGTTCTTTAAATATTTTGTCAAATGCACGGCAAAGCTCCAGGATGAGGTACAATTGAGCCTGCAAAAGAATAGCCATGATGTCCCTATGTCCATTTAACTCCAATGCACTTCAACTCAAAATTTCAGTAAAGATTACCCCAGCATCAGAGGCAATAGGTCTACCAAGGTGATCCATCTCAGATTCAAGCTCATCAATAGTTTTGTTTATCAGAGAGGTTATGCTCGGAATGCGTGATCTGATAGCAGCCTCTAGATGCTGAAAGATTGAAGCAGCACTGCATCATGTACCGTTTTTAGATCACTAACAGCATAAATGAAAGCAATGCAAGATTTCTTGAACCTGTGAAAGAAGTTTAGCAAGATATTCTGAACCCATCCTGCTGGCAAGATGAGAATATTCAGGACTAGAATCAAAGAACTCTTGCTCTTTTCGCCTAGCAATAATCATGTCAACATTCCTGTTGATATCTGCTTGTGAACGGTTCACAATTCCAACCCAGGGATGCTGCAGTCTGTAAGCTCTTCCTTCGAGAACCTAAATGAAAATAAAGAAGGGGAAGTTACAGAGTCCAATGGCAATAAAAACAAAAAATTCACACAGAACAAGAGACCACAGAAACGTACGTCAAGTGCATTTGTTCCCTTGTCCATTAGATCAAGCTTTGTCAACACACCAAATGTCCTCTCACCTGAAGAAATTTAAGATGATCCTAAGCCAAGGAATTAACTAGGCGAATCAAAAGGATAGGACTTTGTCAGCATGGAGATTCTCAAATGATAATTAACCTTAATTTTGGAGAAAGTGAAACAGTAATCTAAGTCAAATTACTGACACTTGGAAAAACTCCTGAATCATTCCACTTTACTCTTATGTCAACTTCTTACACCATCCAAAGTTGATCTAGTAGCTGACATGAGTTTACAGCTTCACGTTCTCTTATTTTATTAGTGTTCACAACCATCATGTTTCCTGGCACTTTTTTAGATAATGTAGTTTGTAGTAATCATATCGCACCCTCTGCATCAGCAGATGCACACGGTGACAAATTTATTACCTCATTTTAGAACTTTGCTACATACCATAAAACTAAGATACAGCAAGCCAAGAGTTTGAACACTACTGTGGTGACCTCAACAACAAAATTTTGAATGTTCTGGACTTATAGACATGATAAGGTGACAGATATACTTCAAATGAGGTTTGTTAGCAAGTGTCTTATTTTTCCATTATACAAATGGTTAGGTAACAGGGTAGTTCATTTAGAAACTGGTAGAAGTAACAAGGAAGGGAAGTCTATAATCAGTTAGTACAAAATGCCCCAAATTTGCAGAGTTGGAGTATAGTATGCTTCAACCTGCAACATGCTTGGCACAAATGCTCTTAGGTTCTACCCAACACACTGAAACAAGCAAATGGTCTCTATCCTAAAATGATGTGCATGCAATCATTGTTGGAAATAATCCTGTGTGTCTAGGTGCATGCTAGTGTCTAGGTTCATAGCCTTTACTTTAGCTAAATTTCAGCATGGAGTAATAGGAGTAATAGGCTGATTATTTGGGTAATATTCTGCATTAATTAGGAGGCTATCACAGCCACAATTGTAGCTCTCAGCACTGTATAAAGCTAGGAGGAAAATCAGAAAAAGCTCAAGTCATTCCAGCCACCAAAACCATTGTGTTCGTGTGTATCTTGTGTGTGAGAGTTCTTGGTGACCTGTTAAGAGGCTATTTGTTCACGACGAGCACATATGATGTGGACAAGTTTTGAAATGATCAAAGAAAAGGTTTTATTAGACATATGTGAAACGAGAATACACAAGTATTCAAACTCACAATCAAAGTAGGTATCATCAGCTAATAAAAGTAATATACCATGGAAAAACAAGTGTGCTATCTTGATTCATACCAGTTGGATCCACTTCCGGGCAAGCTTGATTGCATCTGATGTTGCTATATCTTGATTGGCAGGAGATATAGCCAGTATAAGACAATTCGGCTGCAAAGAAAATACAAAAATTCAAGACACCTTGTTGATGTGATTGAGAATGTAACCGTATGCAATAAGCAAAGTGCCAAAACATAGAGTAGGTATAGGAAGTTAGGAATTGAATTGAAGATAGAACAGGCATAATCAGGCATAATAATTCAGTCCATGCTATAGGAATTCTACCCAGTCTTACACTTAGTAGATCTGCTCGTGAGATCAAGTGTTATAGTTAGATGCTCTTGAATAGACTATACAGAGTATTTCCTCACCATTTTCAACTAAAAACATGGTTTAAAATAGTGGACTGCGCCATTTAGCAGCGGCCTCCTCAAGAGCCATGAAAAGTTATAGCGGATACAACGAAGCTATTTCATTTAGTGGTTTTATAAAAAATGGAAATTGTCAATTAATTATGAAAAAAAACATGAAACTAACAATATTTCATAAACATAATACTTGAATACATAAAAAATTCTCTAGGATACATGTCCCATGTCTTAACAATCATTCAATAAAAAATATAATATATTCACGGCTATAATCAACATTCATATTCACTCAATTCACAATGAAGAAATAAACTCAACAGTTACTCAATGGCTCATTACAACATTCATTGAGTAAAAAACACAATGAAGAGGCATAGAATTCTATTCATCTACAGCAAAGAGTGGACATTTGACTCAGCTAGCATTAGTGGTGCTAAACAAATTTTGCTGCAAAGACAAATAGCAGTGTTTAGTGGAACCATTTTAAGGTGCAATAGCAAAAGAATTGGCAATATCTTCGAGAGGTAGGCCCTCTGAAAATGCTCTAGCGCTATTTAGAACCATGAATAATAACAAGGTAAACATCAGTGGCTTTAATTCTATTTTGAATGACCACTAAATGGTGCACTTTTACCACTATGCAAGGTGCACTGTTACCAACGATGCAAGTTTAATTTAATTTAAGAAACAACATGCAAAATATGTCAAGGTCATAGTCAGTTTTAGAGATATGTGCATCATTCATACCTTATCAACATCTGAAGCGCACCATGCTTTCGATATCCTGAACAATGCTTTCAGGCTGCCCCTCTGAAAGAGAGAACATAATCAATGAAACTTCTCCTGAAAAAGGCCCACCTAATACAAGAACGTGAACAAAAACAATAAACACATTTACATACCTACTGCAACTTTTGTTAGACCCGGCAGATCAATCAATGTTAAGTTGACCACTGCAATAATCGATTGAATTGAGTAAATAAATATATACTACAAAGATTCAGGAGCTCAGAGATGCTTTTGCATATAAATCAACTGCTCTACAAACTAGTCAACAAGAAGCGTCCACTAACATCAATTTCAATTATTAAAACATGACCAGGAAAACAAAAGGAAACAAAAAAACATTGCAATGCAGCTTTTGTCAGAAAGAAGAGATAAAGTGCTATACACATAGCATTCGACTGAGATTTTTAGATTCAACAACTAAAAGCAATAGCAATAATCTCCATTTTTTTCTTTTTTCTTGAAAAAAGCAGTGGCAGGTTGTGCCCAGGGCTTAGATACCATGTGGAGAGTATATGCTGAGATGAATTGGAACTGGAGATATTTGCTTTGTCTTTCCAGTCAACCTGTCAGTTTCATCTTGGATTTCCTTCCGCACAAGAGCTGCAGAGAACAATAATTGTTGGCATCTGAGATAAGTACTTCAGCCATTTCCATGTACTGAAAAATACCAAATCCACTCTGAGATCAAATGGCAACTGCTTCTTACTAAGTTTGTGCATTCTACTTTTGAATACATGTTGCAAAGCATGATAAAATGCACATGATATTTGAACTAGCAGCACAACATGGGAAACACAAAGATGATCATGCCATTTACACAAGTCGAATACTTCTTAGACCCCAATGGCAATGGTAGGTGCAACATAGCAAGTAAGGTAAGAAGTGTCATCCTCATCGAGCAGAAATTTTGAAGAGAACTCAAATAGGAGACAATACAATTGCACACTGGCAGAACCAAATTCGTTAATAACTGAATAATAGTAAGACACAGCGTCTGCTGGCAGAAATATAGTATACAATTATTAGTTTCAGTAAACAGTGCATCTTGCGACGGTAAACATGGCCAATCAAGCATTCAATTATACTAGCAATCAACTTACCAACAAACCAATTTCATAGCAGCTTAGGCCAAGAATAAGTGAATAACCCTATATCGCTGAAGATGACGAAGGATGCTTACCGAAATCAGTGAAGCGGCGCTTGGGCATGTGCAGGAACTCGGCGTACTCCTGCACGCCGTCCTCCGTCTTGTGCAGCTGCAGTACGAGTGGCCTACGAGTCACGATCCTTCAATCCAAACACAGACCAAAAACCATAAAATTTCGAGCCCAAAAAACATGATTCAGTGAATGAAGAAGGTAAAAATCTCTTCATACCTGACCCTCGAGGCAGGAAATCTCGCCCCACGATGCTCTCGAGCACCGATGATTTCCCCGAACTCTGTACATGGCCGCCCAATTAAGCGCCTCGTATTTGAACTACGGAACAAAATCCTAGGGCGAGCAAGCACCTAGAGGTGACGGAAAGGAGGCGGACCTGACCGCCGACGACGGCGACTGACGGGAGCGCTTCCCAGAGGGCGGCGACATCCCCGCCGCCGTGGTCGCCGAGGACGGTGCAGGCGCGCTGGATGCGGTTCACGAGCACGATCACGTTCTCCATGGTAGCCATCTTCGGGGTGGGAGGAGGAGAAAGAGCTGTGCGGCGACGGAGGGGGGGGGTGGAAGGTTCTAGAAGGCAGCGGAAGGATCGAGGGCAGAGCGCCCCCACTGCCTGCCTGTGTCTGAGGTGTGCGAGCCGAGCAGATAGAGGCGTCGCTGCTGCAACCCGTAACTGCTTCCCCTTTTTCTATTTCTCATCCGATTTTGCCCTCGCTCTTTTCCAAGTCGTCGAGCGGGAACTGCTTTGGTTCACCGAAATTATTGAAGAGATTTTAAATATTTATTTATTTCAAAAAAAGATTCGTGAGAGAAGGTAAGTAGCAGGTTAGCAGCTGTAGACCATCAATGGTAAAAAACGCAGCTGTAGAGGTCCTATATTCATACGGGGCGGGGCAGCTACCATCTGGATGTCCGGCAGCATAACGCGTTCAGAGGCTGCTCCCATTCAAGCGTAACATCATGTCCATCCCACCCACGTGAGCGCCCACCAAACCCATGTCACCTGCGACATCCTCAACCTTGCTGCGCCCGCGCCTAGCCACGCCCCTTTCCCCGTAGCGCCGCCTTCCCCCGCACGCGTCCGGTCGCCGAGCTCGAATTGCCGCAATGAGATAGAGGAAAGGGAAGGAAGGAAAGGGAGGGAGGGAGGAGGAGAGAGAGAGGGCGAGACGCGCCGCCGCCGAGGTAGAGCGCAGTCCTACAACATGCCGTTGTCCGTCGGGTCACCGGTGTTATTGCAATATATGCAACACCCGGTCTACTTTTTAAAATATCACAGATGAAACATTTACAACATACGTTCAAGATAGATGAAACAATTGAAACATCGTCTAAAACACTTGTAAAAACACCTAAAACACTTGAAAAACCATTGCAAAACATATGCAACATCCAGATAAAATATTTGCACATATGTGTGAAACATATGCAACATCCAATTAAACACACTTGCAACATACGTTTGAAAAAATAAATGAAACATTTGGAATAGACGCTTACAACATATGTGTATAGCCATTGCAACATATGCAACATCCTGATCTACTTTTGCAAGAAATATGTGAAAACACTTGAAACATACGCTTGCAACATGCGCTTTAGCAAAACCACGACAAAGTGGAGCACTCCACAATGGATCCGGCTGCTCGATCGTGGCGGAGAAGGAAGATGGCGGTGATGAAAGGCGGCTGCCATCTAAGCCGACCCTAGGCGTGGCGCGCACGCACCAAATGACCCGATGCACAGCCATAGTACGCGTAGCCACCCCAACGACTACCCAATCGGGGGCATAGCCGGAATGAGTAGCGAGAGGCGTGAGTGGAGCGCGCGACGGGTGGGGACAAGGAGCGAGCGACACGAGATGGGTCGCATGGCGAGAGAAAGCGTGGCAACCTGACAAAGGCAAAAAAGTGGTGGCGGGGAAGCCTTGACGAGCGGAGGAGTGGGCGCTTGGCGTCCAAAAAGGACGGACCTCCGTGCCCTATCATTATCGATATTCATATACATTACTATTGATGTGACGAAATTTAAAAAAAATGAAAATTAGCTGCATACGAAGTGACGAAAACTGAGCATGTACACTGTACAGACCGTCCCTTCTTGTAAACGACTTGTTCTTTTCTAGACCTTCAACAACCCTCGGCAAATTCCCGTCTTGTACTCTCGTTTGCTAGAATTCGCAAGGATAGTTTCGGAACGAAAGTTGAGACGGCGGGCGGATAAGGACAGTGGGGCCTTGTCTAGTGGATGGATAGAGACATGACAGTTTGTTCGAATGTCTTTCAAAATTTCTCCCTCAGATTTGAAACCTTTGTCAGTGCATGGTGGGCCACCCCTAAACTATCAAATGGGCCAAAATTAGGTCAAAAGGAAACAACAACGACCCCAGTCATATATCCACTCAGAAGAAACCATGGAAAAAGTTCACATTATCTCATCAACTTTTGCGGCTTTTCCTCCCTAAACTCTAAGACCAGTTAAACCATCTCCCTGAATTTTTAAAACCGTTCGTTTCACCTCCTTACTGGTTTTAAAAGGCGATTTTTGTTTTTTTTATTTTTTATTTATTTCGGCTAAATCTTTGAAAAATCATAGTAAATCATAAAAAAAATCATAAAATGAAAACATAGATATGGCATTAAAGCAAAATTGGGCCTGTGTAAGAAAAGAGAAATTGGGCCCAAACAAGGCCTTTATATTGTGAAACAAGAAACGAGGCCTTTATATAGCTGCCGGCCTTAATAACCTTTTGGGCTTCCATTTTTCTTTGTGCGATGAGTGGAGTTAATTATTTGTTCTCCCCTCGTTTAAAATCCTCTTCCATTTTTCTTTGTGTGATAAGTGGGGTTAATACATGTTTAAAATCCTATTTAAGTTTCTATTTCTTCAAACGACATGATCCTTTGTTTGCAATAAAAATGTAAGCCATAAAAAGTAGATCATTCTCTTCAATCCTAGAGCAGTTTTTTATAGCACTTTTATTTATGAGCTTCGATTCACCCCCATACATACAAACATGTTACAAAACACGTACAGGCGTGATTACACAAGATAGAAAAGATCTTTCCTCCATTCTACTCGATGAAGTAGAAGCGCAGGAAGGTCGGTATGCGCGTGTGCCCAATCAGACTGATCAGTTCAGTTGGTTGTCGCGCTTGAGCTTCTTTTCGGCCAGCATGCCCTCGATGGCGGCCTTCCAGACCTTGCAGTGCGTCTGGTGCTCGAACAGCAGCTGCACCGTCACCCCTTCCTCTGACGTGATCAGCGCCACCGGGAACGCCGGCCGCCCCTCCACCACCGTCTCGCCGCCGCCGTCTCCAACCGCCGAGACCACATCTGAAAATCATCGTCGCCACCAAACGGCAGATGAGCAGATAGATCCAGTCGGTGGATGGAGCCGGTATCAAGTATCAACACAGTATGCGGCCAAGCCGCTGGGAGCCAAATCACAACAGCGACGCTAGTACCAAGGTACAAACAGACCAATCGTGACGGGACTGGACCGGCCCTGGAAGATTGATTGGGTCGTTAGAGACAAGCGTGTCGGCAGGGGCAACCGGCCAAACGCCAAACGGCTCAGGTGTTACGGTGCAGTGACGTCGCGGTACAGGCAAGCGCCTCGTCGTCGTCTTCCCCGGACCGGCCGGCCAGCCGAGCGCGCGGCGACACAGAGTGCGCGCACCCACGCGCATGCACGCGCGCGGCGACGACGCGGCAGCGGAATAGCGTTGTGAGATGACTGCGTGCACGAGCTGTTACTTACAGTCCTTGAAGGTGGCGAACGCGCCGTGCAGGCGCTTCTTCCCCAGCCGCAGCACCACCGCTGCGCCGTCGCCGCGCCGCGGGAAGACGGACACCGTCCTCACCCGCACCCTTCCTGCACATATAGGCACCCAAGCAAATACGCAGACAGTAATCAGTTGCAGGGTCAAGCTACACACAATAGCGATGCACAGCTACTACCACAGAATAGATGCATGTCGTCTCTCACCACAAGGCAGACAGACTCTGAGAGTCGTGCCCTTCTGGATGCCAGCGCTGACGCTCATGGCCATGGCGTTGCTGCTGGTGCTGGTGCTGATTCCCCTGAGGTCAGCTGCCCTTTGCTTCAGCGTCGCGGCTCCCCTCAAACCTGGCAGAAGCATCAGACACGAACATGTAATCAGTTCCCCTTCATTCTGAGTTTGTCACGTTAAATTTTGGGCGTGGTTTGCCGGTGCTACATGTGGCAGCGGAAGCAGTGAGGGTGAGCAGCTCGGCGGAGGAGCGGCTCTCGAGGCCGGTCCTCACGGCCGACGTGACGCGGCCGCGGTTGGCGCCGGCGGTCTCCGCGGCCTCAGCGCACACGGTGGCCACCAGCGCCGCGGCGGACGCGAGCACCGCGCCTAGCCTCCTGTCGCCAGCGCTGGCCGAGGCCGCCGGCCTCAGGTCGCACGCCGACACGATGCCCGCGACCGCCGCAGCGAGCTGCGCCACCGACACGGCAGCGTGCGCCTGCGCCGTGTGCAGCCGGAGCTCGTCCCTCCGCCTTCTCCGCCGGCTTCCGGTGAGTGGCACGCTGTCCGGCAGGAAACCACGCAGCATCGCCTTCATATTTCCAACTTTGAGCTGCAAAAAAAAAAAAAAAAAAAAAAGAAAGAAAGAAAGAAAGAAAGAAAGAAAGGAGCAAGCGAATCAAACAAGGCAGTTATTGTACCAGTTCCGACAAGATATCAGCTGTGCTATCCTGTTTGTAATAACAACTGGCTAGTATCTTGTCCTTACTCCTTACTTACCCAGGCAGGCTGGACGAGCTTGTACCGGCGCTGTCCGCAGTTAGGCCTGCCGCCGGCTACAGGTCTCTGTCAGGCAAACCAGGGATCATCATTAACACTGGGGCAATAGTTCACTGCTGAGACGTGAGCCCAATGGCTGACTTACACATGTCTGATTGAACAATTGGTTTGTTGTTCCCCCATTAAAACGAACCGTGCCAAGATGCTTTTCTTTGTCTTCGCCTCCGTCTCCTCTTGCTTCATCTGGCTCTGGGTCCTCCAGCGATGATCCCAGGCTCTTTATTATATTACAATAGATAAAAGTAACCGTGAACAAAAGAGAAAACATTCTGCACACTAAAAAAGGTGAAAAAAAAAGATGCGTTTTTTTCTTCTAAGGAAGATCCATGCAGTAATAAATAGATAAGACTGAAGTGAAGCGTTACTGTAGGTTGTGCGAAGCATTATTTTGTATGTGGATTGTGAAACAATGGAGTGGCTTGAGAGAAGATGTCGCCACTCGGTTGGTGAAAACTGAAAAAGACATAAACATACACTGGGGGAGAGTATTTGGAAGAGATCCGAGGAGGAGGGGCTCCATGTCCGAGAGAGGAACTCCATGGCCTGCTCAGGGATGACTGGCATCTCTTCCAGGTGGCAGCACTTAGAATGCCGTGACTTCCCTTTACAGCGGATGTCCGCCTTCTGCGCATCGATCGGTGCGCTCTCTGCCTGTTTGAACATTCAGCAATGGCTATATATATTCACACCAAATGAAACAAATCTACAAGAGAATGATGCAGCAGCATGATGCTAAAAAAAAAAACTCAGTATATATATGTAGGCACTAGCTAGGAACTGATGATCAGAAGTTCAGAACAGCAGTTTAGTCCATCTCTTAATTTGTCAAAGATGCAGTTATGGCAGAGGCATAAACAGTTCTGAAAACTTAAAACTAGTCAGGTTATAGTAGCCTACTAGCCTTAGCCGACATCTATGGTCAGTTTCTATTATATAACTAAAAATCATGAAGCAAAGGTTTTGCATGATCACCAACCATTTGACATGACAGTGGATGGCATCTCTGGAAGGAGGCCATCCCAAACTCCACCCTCGCTTGAAATGCTCCATCAGGGCTGCTCAAATCAGGCTCGTGGCTGCACTGAGCGATGCAACAGAACCGGATCAGTGAGGAAGAAGTGATGAAAAAAAAGATCACCCTAACACCGTCTATTTGTAGTTGATATATGAGGGGGCAACTTCTTGTCGTCCACTAAATGTGATATCAAAATCCTAGCTACAGAATAACTCCACTGTTTTGCGATTCGCATTTGTTACTCTGGACAATCCACTAGGAAACAACCAGTAGAGAACAATCAGAATTATTGAATCAGAAAAGGCCGGATTGCCTAATTGACTGTAGACACTAGACACAGTATGATTTGAGAACTTTGTTTCATGTGTGACGAGTCTGCTTTCCTATATCAAATTTGACCGGAGGAAGCTATATAAAAGTAACTGTTTCCTGCAGCTTTCGTTCATGCGTGGCTGATCACTGGAACTTTTCAAGTCTAGAACAGTTACAGACTTTCCAAGTCTATAATGACTGCAAAGACAAATGTTTAGAGGATTTAACGATGGTATCTATGGTGTTCAACTAATTTTACAAGGAAATAAAGAAAATAATGAAACCAAAGGAGCAGATAGGGACAGATAGGACTACAGTAGCAAGCAGATGAAAGGCAGCCTGAAGATAAGCAGTCCAGAGAGAGCAAGAGCTTACTTTAGCAGGAAGCCCTGGGTGCACTGATCTTGTGACACCTGCATGGCTCCAAGTCTTTATATTGTGAGAACATACGCAAAAAAGCTGAAGCATGCGGGTTTACAATGCACCAAGAGTACTCAGAAGGATTCAGTATTATAATTTGCATTCCCCACGAAATCTTGATGTATATCGCTTCCATATCTCTTTCTGGGTTGAACTTCCCCATTGAGAACTTGTGGTACTCAAGGTAGACTAGTAAACGGCGATAATGACTTGAGCACATTGCTTCTTTTGGAATGGACCTTGCCAAAACTAAGCAGTTAGAACTAGAGTAATGTGGGGGGGCCAAGGAGGTGGTCCTGCTAATGGCAATTTGACATGGCGTATGATTGCCACTTATAGCAAATGAGTATACAAAATATGTAACGCCGTTCGCTTGACCGAGAAAAAAAAGTTGTAAATGAGATGCGCATCATGTGCCATATATACGTGGAAATCTTCGAACAATTTCTAACAGGCACTCGATCGATATAGAGAAATTTACAAGACGGTAATGATGATTGTGATGCTGGATGAAGCATGGATTAGCTAGCAATGATTGTAAATGAGTGTCTAGCCAAAAGGTGAGATGGCGCCATAACGATAGCTTCGGCAGAAAGCAATTAACTAGTAATCTCCGGTGTACTACAGGGGGTAATCCATGATATATTCACCCAAGTAGGAAACAAAATGTATACATCTGGCAGGACATGTGCAGTGGTGATCTTGTTATTGTAAAGGTTCGAACTTCGAAGCTTAATTCCTACTTGTGGTATATAACTGATATGTGAGGTGGGTGGGATCAGTAATCAGTTGAGACCTGGTATCATCGATCAGTTGCAACCCGGAAGACTTGTGAAACCGAGGGGCGGGTGACTCATTTATCTAAAGACTGAAGCACTGATGTTAATAGGAGTTCATTGCATTGGATGGATCAGCGACAAGTGATCCAGCGATTAGGGCGAAACCACATGCTCCCGCGCCCCAATCGACGCGCATCATGAAGATCAACTTCTCCTAATTGTCGAGTTCTTTAATCTCCTAACATGGATTATAGGAAAGAAATGAAGGCGGCGTGAGGAATCAAAGAACAGGAGGAATAGACGTACTGACCTTCCTTCTTCTCCGTTTGGACAGGATCAGATGTTCAGAAGAGGAGGCCCCCTGCCCCTGGGGAGAACCTCTGCTGCTGGGATCCACGAAGTGACCAAGATGAAAGCAGGCAGCGCGGTTACACATGTAAAACCAATTTCTAATAGTCGTTGCCGTAATCGCGGCTTTCAGAACACGCAAATCGTGTGGCCGTTTTCCAGAGAGATCCGGGGCCCGCCCCCACGGCCATGACTGACTGACCGGTGTGTTGTCCTCTTCACTTTTATATATATATATATATATATATATATATATATATATCCTATATTATATATATAGAGGAATCCTCGTTTGTATCGTGAAATAAACGATCGTAAATTTTCAAATTGAATGATATTTTTCTCTCATATAAACCAAAGTAGAAGATTTCTTCACGAACCAAAGAATCTAAACAAACCGATCGACCGAACAAGCTGCCTGTCTCCAAAAGACGGGCAGCGGATCGGGCCACGTCACCCGTTTACCCGCTAGCCGTTGGATCGACCGTTCATGCGATCTGGTCCGTCCGATTACGAGTCGGTTCGGGCGTCGACCCGTAAAGCCGCGAACCTTCCCGAGGGTTGCCCGTCCTGCAGAGGAAACAGAGCCACGCGGCGCAACCGCGCTCGACCTGGCTGTCCTCCGCCGCCCCTGCACCTCCCTCATTCCGACGCCCCGCACCTCCCTCATCCCGACGCGGCCCGGTGGGCCAGCAGCCCCAGCGCGGGCGGGGTGTGCGCGCGTCATTCCCGGTGACCCTGGCGCAGGCGAGGTACGGGCGCGGCGACCCCGGCCTCTCCGGTCTCGGACATCCCGGCGCGGGCGGGGGCCCCAACGGCCCCTGCGACCCCCGCGCGACCGGCGTTGCGCGCGTGGCGGCTCCGGCCACCCCGGAGCGGGCAGCGAGCGAAAGCACGGTGGCTGCGGCCACCCCGGCGCGGGCGTGAAGCTCGAGCGCTGCAGCCACGGCGGCCCCCCCTCCCACGGCGACCCCGGCGCGGCGTCCCCGTCGATGGAGCGCTCGGCCCTCGCAATGAAGGTCTCGGTCGTCCAGCGCCGCTAGGCTCCACTCCAGCCTTCGTTCGGTCTCCCAGTCCCCTTCGTCCCTTGAAGGATCATACTGAGGTTCAATCCAAGCTGACGAACAGAACGTCTCCCCACACGCAGCAGCCCCTCATGGTGTCTTCTTCTTCAATTTGGTAAGGGCTCGTCTTCACCTTGTGTTTTTCCTCTTGCTCATGTGGTGCTTGTCCTCAATGATGCATGCTGAAGCTTGAGTCAACCATTTATAAGACTGATTTTTTGTCAATCTTGGTGGGATGGCTACAATCAATTTGCGAAGAGATGGTTATAAGACTGATTTTTTGTCAATCTTGGTGGGATGGCTACAATCAATTTGCGAAGAGATGGCTTGGACCCTGCACAGCAGCAAAAACCAATTATATGTGCACCTGCACCTTGACAAAACTGTTTCCCAGCTATAGCATTTCCTGGTTCGATTCGTCTCTTCCATTTTCGTTTGAACCTCTTCAATACAATAAGGGCCTATTGATGTGGATGTTTAAAACAGATATTAGTTCATCCTTGATACAGTAAGTTTTTAAATTGATGTATCTTTTTTTTAATATAAATTACAGCAGATCAGATGTGGAATGCCAGCCGGTGATGAACTGGACATCGACGACAACTATAGCGCACAGGAGATATTCGACAAAATTCCCATGAGGTAAACAGCACAGCCTTTTGTCTCCATGAGTATACCATGAATCAAGGCATGTTGGGGCTGTCTTTGTGATCTTCAGCGTGTTCGGCTGGACTTAAATTTTCACTGTGCATATTGAAATTTTAGGAGAGAAAAACACTGCTCCGGCTGAAAACCATAGCCAACCAGCTGGCCATTTATGGCCAGCCGAACACGCTGCTTGTTTGCAGTACTGGTTCTAGCCAGTCCTCTTTGTACTCAGTGTATGATAGCTACTAATGTGTGTGAAATGTCTTTGATACCTACTATTTATGATTTAGGAACTAGTAATAGCTTGGTCACTGTCCTGGACTAGCTTGGTCACAATTTCTTAGGTGTGCAAAGAGAATACTATATTTCAGTTCTTAAATAGCTATTTGCTTTTCTATTCAGTTCAAGCAGCACTTAAATACTGATTGAATTCAGGCACAAGGTGTTTGATATGTCTGTCATGACTAGGTAACAACAACAATATATATATATATATATATATATATATATATATATATATATATATATATATATATATATATATATATATATATGGCTTGCCTGTTCGTTTGGCTGTGGCTTGTCGATATCTGATCGTAAATTTTGCAGCCGAACAGAGTATTTTCTCTCACACAAACTAGCCAAAGAAGATTACTACTTTATGAACCAAACCAACCTAACATGCTTATACTCCTGGGAGTAGTTACTCCCTCTTCTAATCGGGTTTGAAAGCAACCACGGGATCCATTAGTCAGGCGCTACAGCCTCCCACAGTCCACCTTTTCAAAACGCATGCATGTATGGGAACTTATCTCCTCCTAGATTTCAGGTGATGGCTTCATGCCACATATAAAAATATTGTTTATTAAGCATAGGGATAGCGTATATATTTTTTTTTGCAAGTATATGTATATACGGTAGTATGCGTTCATAC